AAGGCTAGGGCCAAAATGTTGGCTTTCCTTGTAGCCCTCCTTTTTCTCTAATTTTGGTCTGCAAACTTAGGTTGTTAACCATCCAGAAGACAAGCTTACTGTTATTATCAAACGATTTAGGCTATCGAGCTTAACCTCACTATCTGGCCCTTTTTGTTTTTCCTGTCTCTGTCTCTGTCTGTCTGTCTGTCTGTCTGTCTCTTTCTTCCTTTCTGTCTGTCTTGGTGTGTAGTTCAGGTTGCTGTGTGTAGCCCAGCTACTCATAGCAGTTTTCTTGCCTGGGCCTCCCAAGTCCTGGGATTATAGCATGCGCCACCACTCCTGGTTATATTTTTTATTTCAAGACAGCATCTTGCTAGGTTGCCCAAGCTGGGATGGAAATTGCTACCTCTGCCTCAGCTTCAACCTACTGAATAGTAGCTAGGATTATAGACATGTACCACAACACCCAGCAGAAAACTTCTTTAAGAACATTTGTTGGGAGCTGGTGGGTTAGCTCAGTTGTCTAAAGCACCTTCTTGAGCAAAATCAGTCAGGGGCAAGGGACTGTGGATCAATCCCCAGCACCACATGCTGGACCAGACCCACACTTAAGGCAGCCTGAGCCAGCCAAAAAAAGAGAACGTCTGTTGGATTGGGGTGTAGCTCAAAGGTAGGGTACTTGCCTAGTGAGCCCCAGCACTGTGAGATACAAAACAATTGCTAAACTACACTGAACTAGAGAGTAGGATAAAGAACCCCATGTCTATCATGTACTTCAGCAGTCATGAAAAGCTAGATTGTATTTGTTTATCCACCCCAACCAGTAAAGATAACAATGAAGCTTAATGGAAAACTTAAAAAAAAAGACTATGAGTACCTTGAACTTATAGTATAGAAACTCCCAAACAAAATATTTATCTCTGCCAATAAGACTGTTTAATAGTTTCCAGCACAAGTTCTAGAATTGTAGATCCCCTCATTTTCAGGACTAGGGCATCTGGCATTACAGGGCTGGAATGGAATTAGAATTTAGGCTTCCTGCTCTTGTTGAGACCTGGTTCCATACACAGCAAACACCCTTGACAGGGAAACTGCAGGTAATCAGAAAGTTATGGATATCTCAGGCACGTACTAATAAAAATAAAAGTTTAAAAACTGGCTGAGTGTGGTGGTACACACCTGTAATCCCAGTGATATAGGGGAATGAAACTGCCAACCTGAAAGGTACCTGGGATGAGTTTGTGTTCTTTAAAACTGAAGAACCAATTTGAGGAACAAACTGAGGTTAAGAGAGTATTTCTTGGGGGAAAGAAAGCTTCTGTCTAAGAGAAGGACAGAAGAGGGATCCAACAGGTTGCCCGGGGAAGCGGTCTCTTCTAGGGATTTTTATAGAGTAAAACCATGTTGTGAGGCAGATCTAAAGTGGAAAACATGGGAACTTGCTTAGGGGGGCATGACGTGGGACAAAACTATGGCCAACCAATAAGGTTACAAGCACCACTGCTCAGGTATAATTGATTAAATCCAGGACCAAATGAGGAAGTGAGTTCACATGGCAAGCAGACATGAATACTGAACAAGGGCTCTTCCTGCTGCGATTGGGTCAGTGACTCTTTCTGGCTCTTTCAAGGTGACTGATAACCTCTTTAGAATATCAATTCCTGAAGCCCATCCCTAGGGAAGAACGTGGCTGCATTTGTTTACTCTTTTGTCTTGAGGTCTGGCCTACAACAGGTGTGTCTGTCTCTTCCAAAGTTGCAAAGTCATTTTGTCTTCCATACTGCCTCCTTGAGGGCCTGGCCCTGTGTGACT